TGGGACATCAAAAGTAGTCACATTCTATTCAAGAAAAAACCCTAGTAATTTCCCGCGGAAATGGAATGCGGCAATATCGTGTAGCTGGTTACGGGAAATTAGAAGCCTAATATTAGTCTTTGAATACATTGAAATCGTAGATCATTAGGTTTCCTAGAATATCAATAGGCTATACAAAGAAGTTTTACAATTTCTATTAAGGTCTCTGGCGAAAGAGAAGCCATTTTACTGAAAGTTACTTAATCGAAAGAGATGACGTTCATGTAGGCTTAAATGACCAGAAACTCAGATTTCTAATATTACTGATGTAGATAAAAGTATTAAACTAAAAGCTTTTGGTTTTACAACTCCATTTCATAATGCCTCTTCTGTAGATGGTATAGAATCAAATGGGGTTTGACGTCCTACTAGATGGCATAGATAACTGTGACCTGATTAGAGCAATCTGATTAAAATGTTGTTTCCTTTTATTTTTGATGTACTCCATTGATATCTGACATAGTTTTTGGAAGTCGATGCTATATACCGTGAATTTATTATACCATTATTATAATACAGAGCTATGTTTTGGCGTAAAATTAGAATTAGTTATTGTATTCAAATATGAATAGAACTATGACTTGCAGAACAGATCTGTAACAAAAACGTATGTTAGTACAAAATCAGAATATTGTGTAAAAAATCTGTAGAAATATACGGATCGCATGAAACAGGTATTTCACCATAACACATGAAATACTATCATTGTTTCATTGACAAAAATATACAAGAGAGCAAATTCATTGCAAACCTCGGATCTTACTGGAGACACCGCGTGTCATAAAACAACAATAAGAATTTAAATGAGTATACCTTTTTGTTCTCGGATGTCCAACATCATTCGTATGCGTGTGTCTGTGTACTATAGTGTACACGAAACGCTTATGTAATATGTTTTATTCATTTGAAAAATCGAAAAACTGAACCGACCGAATTACAAATCTCTACTTAACATCCGCCAAATACAATTTAAAATCTTCTAGTGGGCGATCATTTAAATACACAACATTATACGGATCGAATGATCATCCTATCATTCTTTAAACACATCCATATCAACATTCAAAACTACATCGATGATATGGCGTCTGTTTAGAGGTTATGTTTAGTATTACCTTGGAATGGAACTTGACTTAATTGACAGTCGCTTGGAACATAATCTCTGTGTGGAATAACGCTCTTTAAATGGCCCTATTACTATTAGTATTTATTCTATAAATCACATTATTAAGAATAATGTCTGTTTTTAGCATTTCGCCTCAGTTATTCTTTTTCGCTTCTAAAATCCGGGGCAAAAGTTTGTCTCTATTACATTTTAGTCATGGTTTTGTAAAATATCAATTGATTTAATATAAGTAAGATGATCGTATTTAATATCATAAATTCCTGGATTCAATTCTTACTTTCGTGTTTGCTTTAATACACAAGAGACCAAATTGCATTCATAAACCTTGTTCGCCTTTTAATATGTCAACTGAATCAGGTGCCTACAACGTAGAATGTCCGTTTACTCTGAATTCATGATTTAATTTTTCTAAAAGCATCTTTCTGTATTTAGTTTATATAGCTAAAAATGTTACTGATATATATTTTTTAACAGAGATTTATCCATCCATAAATTATTACTTCTATTATTTGTGATGACAATGTTTGTGAAAACGTGCTTTAATTCTAGAAAATGTGTTCATGCGAGATTTTTTATGTCACATAAATCGCGTTTGTTGTTACTCTATTTAACATAACAAAAAGAGGTAACATGTACCAGGAAATGTCTTTTCCTTAGAATTTAATACTAAGTTTCAATTCAAATCTGCCAAATATAAGGCAACGGTAACGATCCAATTGGCATTCCTCGGTTCCGATAATTTTTGACGCACTTGTATTAATTATAAAGTATAACATCATACAGACGGGAGGATTTACCAAGAGATAATTTCCCATTTAGTGGGAAGATTTAGGAATGGATAATCGTCGCGGATAAGCTCCGCTTAAGAAAACACACGAAGCTGGCTGACCGACATTTTAGGTCATATATCGACGAAAGCACCAAGTATATATCGAGAATTGTGAGAAGTATTTATTTCACTTTCATTTTCATATTAAAATAAAAAAAAATGAAAATGTTTTTCTAGTCTTTGTGTGTATGATAAATGGCTCATTTTATGAAAAATAATTCGGTGTTCAGACGACGAAAGATGATTTAAAAGAAATAAAGATGGTGACGTGAAATCAATAGAAAATGAGCCATAGACGGCTATTATCTCCGTTAGGATTGGCGGATTTTAATATTTTGGGGGCTCAAGACTTATCATGTATGGTCTGAAAATCAATATTTGCCTTCCCGTCTGAAATATTGGGCCTGTAATTAATCATTGAAGTTTGGAAATAATGACAACATGGTTAATTATAACATGTGACTTCTGTATATAAAAATATAATATGACAGACAGTTAACTTTCAACGTAGTTTAAGGCTAAAAATTTGTTCGATTCAAGATAGCTTCGACTAGATAGCGTGACAGTCTTTATTGTTTCTCTTTTCAGACATATTAATGACCCATATGATGAGTTTCACTCTCTTTGATATACATTCCTGACAATCACAGTCAGGAAGTAGATAAAGAATATTTCCGAATTTAATTTTTTAAAACAATGGCTGACGGCAACATAATTGAGGAACTGTACAATTTTGCATTTCGTGATGAGACTAATTAGAATAGGTAGAATGTATGGTCACAGTAATTATTTACCTTTAATGAATGCACTCACACTTGACGAGTTTTTGCAAGGAGTGTTCTATGGATCTTAATACACGATAAAATCACTTTCAAATCCGGTCACGAAGAACATTGGACGTTAGAGATGCATTATGCAAGAGTCAAACCTGTCTATTGCCCGTCTCTTTATTTAGCTTAAAATGTTACACCAATTAATTATTAATTAGGTATTTATTCACATGCCAAGTCCAATAATCAACTCTCTATACCATCGAACGGATGTGATATTGAATGTATTTGAATACCGGTGCCATTTAATTGTTTAACGTTAGAATGGATAACCGAGACGTCGTTTATTACCATAGCAATGGTACGTGGCAATCGAGACACTCTTGTCAAAAATTCAAAAACTCATAACTTTGATCATAATAAAGTAATTAGGATGAACTTATCAGTATATTCAATTGTCGTTATCTAATTTTGAACTATTATAGCAATGTCACCTCTTTATCTAAAGGTTACATTATGCATCTTTTCTAACGTTCTTGGCGACCATAAGACGACGTCATTTTGATTAAAATATGCATTTTAAAACTCGGCTAAACTCGTCTAACAGCGTCAATAAGTCATAAGTTCGAACAAAACCTATAATTATTGTTAAGTTTACTCTTGTCGAGTTGAATGCAGTATTAATACAGCAGTTGGAATTATCATTTTTTATTATTATCAATTTATATTTAAAAATAATGCATAAATTAGTCACAATTATGGGAAGTGTATACGACTTGACCTCACAAAGGTACTGTCATATAATAGTACATCCCTCGTCGCATTAGCTTTCCGGAAGAAGAAATAAAATCACCAGGGAAATAAAAACGAATAAATCTTGAACACAACCTAAGACACCGTAGAATGCCTAGAACTCCTGAATGGGTCAAGGGAGCTTTTTCTCGTTTTGCTAAGAGCTTAAATATATATACACGGCAATATGTAATTGAAATAATGAAAGAGGACCATTACACTAGTTTAAAACATCAAATTTTCAAGAAAAAGGTTTAGTAAATTTGATAAAATTCTTCTACCTAACTTAGAAAGTATCTGTTAGAAAGCGACAATTCACTGATCAATTTTCACACCCATTAACTAGACCAATTTATCTTTGTCGACATCTCTGATGCTTCTACCTTAGAAAATATCGAGACCAATGACAGGCTAGCGTCCTCCAAAACCAATAACTAATAGAACGGTGATTGCTAACTTGTCATTTTAAGCATCAAAAGCGATCACCAACGGACTATCGCCATGAAAATCATTCAAATTGGTATCGTTACTTCAATGATTAAAGACTAAAATTTTAGAGCCAGGCGCCATTTTTTTCTAATTTAAGCAAATAATTTTCACCGTTTGCCCAACTCAAATGATCAGGCAAACTTGTGGCGTAAGGACATCTCATATAGCCTATTTACCAATATTGTTAAGTAATCGTAATATTATTTTCTCAAAAGAGCTCATATTACCATAGTCCGTAAAACTGAAAACTACAAGCTGCATAATCGTGTGTAGGTCATTCGGATTTTGTGAAGAATACTGGATTAAAAATTCTATTTGAAAATTTTATCGAAGCGAGAGCTTTTCTTTTCAATTTCGCCTAGGAAATATATGCTATCTAACTTAAAAAAAAAAAAAAAAAATGTATCTTTGTATCTCATGCGAATAAACTATCGAAATGTTAAAAATTTATACGGCTGCGGGATATGACGTGTCACAAATAATAGTTTCACAACAAATTACTAAGAATTAAGTGGTTCTTGATATTAGACCTTTTTTGCTCACAAGAAGTGAAGCATGTGTTATATGGCGACTCTTCAAATTCAGACAGACGTGTGTGGTTTCTTAATAAAGGTTTGAAAGTAAAATCTTCATCCAGAAAGACACCTCGAAGTCTTCCAGTGGATTGCATATAAAGTAAATTTTCCATTTTCAGCGGAATTAATTCTGAAGAGGAAATTGCCGAGATTCAGACTTTCAATGTGTATTGTTTGTTCTTGAGTAAGCAATTTGAACTATTAGACTTAAGAATTAAAAGACCTTATTGGCATTCTGAGATTAGACTGGTTAATCCCCATCACATTTTATTCTTTTTAAAAACAGAATAATCACTATTGATTGTAATGATTATATTATAAGGTGCACAAGGGGATGACAATTGATGGATTTCGTTTTTTCAATGGCATAAAATACTTACATCCAAGCATCATGGCAAAAATAGAAAATATTTTCTCAGCATTGGTGTTTGGTGCCACGTTTCCAAATCCGATACTGGTTAAACTGGTAAAGGTAAAATATAAAGCAGTTATGTATTTTGACCGTATTGTTGGTCCACTCGTTGTATCGTTCACAAAATATGGTCTTTTAGTGGTGCCAGCTAACACATCTAACCAACTGATACTAGCATGTAGATGCGGACGCTCTACGTTAGCAATTGCGTAAAATATACAAGCTAGCCAATGTCCAATTAATGTGAAAGTCACCATCAAAAGTAGGAGCACAGCTACACCATACTGAGCGAATTGTTCAATTCTTCTAATAACCCTCAATAACCTCAATAATCGAGCAAGTTTTAGGATTCCAGTAACTGTCATTGTCTGAAAAATACAAACAAAGAAAAAGATGGTGAAAAAAATATTTGGTTATTGTTACAGTTACATTATTTTTGATTTATTTCCTGTTCGGATAAAACGATTCTTCTATACTGAATGTGTCCCAAATTGACTGAACCCGGATTACCCGGTTCCGATAATTCATTGATTTACTAGACCACACGCCGTAATAAGATCAACAGTTAAACTCGGGGAATCATTTTCCAGGTTAAAGTAGTTGATCGAAATTTGCATTTTTCGGACAATTTCTAATTCTTCAAGGTTTATTCCACCCTAAATATCCCCAAATTGATTATTTAGGATTTAGTCATGAGAACAAATCCCGGTTTGGATCTTAGTGATGATCGTATGTGGCGCTTTCATGTTTTTGCCACATCCAGTTTAAATCGTAACGGATACCGGATGTTGATAATTGCCCATGCAATTCGTCATATCATTGTAAATACTGAACGGAATTCATCCATTGTTTGACTGATACTTCTGTAAAGAGATACAACTTTCACAATATTTGAAATAGCGACCGGAGACTTTAAAGCTAATCAATGTATCAATATGTTGTGATCATCCGATGTAAAACCAGTACTGTTTATGTTTAAAGCTCTTAATCAGAGTTTTTAAGCTTTCAAACAGATGTGTAGGCCTGTCACCTAATCACTGGTCAGTTAACCACATGGGATTATAAACAGTGATCAATTTAATCAGTGTGCAAGACTACGGTCTTTTTAGTGATTCGCTAGCTAACATCATGTAAAAGCACTAACCCATATACCTAGACACAGCCATTCTTTGCCAATGCAACTTATGGAATTCAATCAGTGCTGCATACACTATTTTGAAATATTACAAAAGCGTAAAGTACTATCTTCCCAATGTTGCTAACCCCGTTCTTTGCTGCTCTGTCAATAGTTGAATTAATATCAGTTATTGAAATACATTGGAATAAAACCAGCTACAATCAAAACCCGTAAAAATTCATGTAAATGTATCATAAGCATTATCCGCGAGCCAATTATCTAATATACAGCCCAAAATATTCTATAAACTCATCTAATCTGAAGGATTTCAAACGAAGATTTTTTTTCTCACATGAAATGGCAGGAAATGTTCACTGTGCAAGCGCTGCACTTCAAGAATAAATGGAATTGCTTTTTCCAAGATGTCACAATGCAAATAATTGAATAAACTACGCTGGGCCAAAGTTCCCTCGAAAAGACGTATTGGCAACAAGTAAATTAATTACTCCGGGGAAAGACTTTTTTTGGCATATCGATAAATCCATCGGTGTGCAGTAGTCCGCCGCCGTTCTTCTTGTAAGCTCTGCTGGCGAGGAACGGCGGGGATTCTAAATTAAGGCCGTCAATCAACTATTTACCAAATTGATTCCAAGAAATAAATCAGATACTCTTGACAGCTTTGTTATGCAAGTTGATCCGTTTCATTTTCTATGAATTACAAAATGGAAATATTTTTTCTGTCGACTACAACAACTAGAAGTAATAAATCACCATGGGTAAAGAACACTGACAACCTACAAACCAAGAAAAAACACAACGGCGCCATTGAGCGAGTAGAATTTAAGCCACCCAGTGGAAGAAGGTGTTAGACTCTTATCCAAATAGCATTATATTATTTTGCCAACAATTGGCATTCACTAGAAATTTAATATCAACACGCCTTTTATAAAATACATATTAAATTGTTATTTGATTTGTATTCAGAGTTTATCGGCCCGAGTCCACTCAAGGGATTATGAAATATCAGTAATGTCTACAGACGTACCTTCATCTATGATCTGCCTAATCGACTAGAACAAAATAATGATGTCAACCAACCGTTACTCAACCGTTAATTTGTGTTGATTTTTGGTTTATGTGTGTCTCTAACATTGATTTGTATACAACCCAATGGACCCTGTTCAATAAAAACTAATGCGTCCAACCTAATTCAAAACTTCTTTAACTCGGTCGAACCCTTCGCGTGGCGTAAATGCCAACAAAGAAAAGAATCAGAAACAAAAAAAAACAGGGGCAGTGATACCCCCATCCCAACAACAAAAAAATAATAAAAAAGACCACAACAAAGAAACAAACAAAAACACTTAGTGATGAGATTAGAGAATGAATAATACAAGAACGTAAATATTAGTGACGGTTATTAAAACAGGTTGTATTATATCTATCGACATGCTGACATACACATCTAAATACAGATGCCAATTAAAGTGAAGCATTCGCGTTAAGAAACTTGTTTTGTACGTCGTAAGCTAACCCAGATAACCGTTCGTGAAGAGTGAAGAGTACCAGATCAGATATTTGACAAGCGACATGCTTCAATATATCATGAACGTGGCTAATGATGCTAAAAAGAACGCCACATGAGATGACAGGTTATTAAGAAATTTGGAACATTCTGACACATAACATTTGAAGGTGGAGAACTGACTATGGCTGATTTCATTTCTAGGCAATTTTTGCAACTTGAATAGATTAATATTCTGTTTTAATTTGTGAGTGCAATGTATCAATGTACCCATAGATGTATGGGGTATGGTTGTTCAGAAGATATCTATACTCACCATATAGATATTTATTGAATAAAAGTATTGTTTAAAAAAGGTCATTTTTAGCAATATTTTGGGCCCTATTGACAAAAAACGCCCTTGTCAGTGATGCTTAAGTGGGGCCGAAAAAATAATCCCAGTCTAGAAAACTATTGTATTCAAAGATCTGTTTCCTAACTGAATTTGCACGCTCTGTAAATCTAAATTATATATTGTTATTCTCTAAAAGAAGGAAGATCATCTAGGGAATATTTAGTATGCTACAAGTTGATCTTCTATATCTTATGTTTCCTGATCTAACAAGTCAAAGACAATCGATCTTGCTCAAAGAGTGCAATCCTTCGTTCTATCGTCGCGCCAGATTTCCACTAATCAATCACATCGGCGAAAGTGATACCCAAGGGTTTTGAAATGTTCCAAGTCTATTGGAAACGTCTGAATCGAATTAACCCTGATGTAAGGTAAACAGATTTGTTTGTTGTCAGTCTAGATAGAATAGAAATATAAGGATGGCCAGATGTTGGAAAGCCATTTTGATCTGTGGAATCGTTTACCTGTTTATAGTAGCGGAAAAGCAATATAAAGTACCGGGACTTAATCTTCTTGATGAAGATTAAGTGGAGAATTGAACTTCAAGCATATTAAACCACTAAAGCCCCAAACAAATACCGAAAAACTTAACAGTTCCAGTTGACAATCAATTATTTCGTGATGTGCGTTGAGCTAAGTTTTTAATTTAGTTCACTTTGTGACAGAAATGGATTGCCAGCCCTATAGTCTCCCACAAATACATCTTTAACTAAAACAAAAAGCTGACAAAATATGCGGCCTCCAATAGATAATCGAAATAATATTATTTTAAAACAATGAGAAACCACAACCCCTATTTGAACTAGCGTAGTATTATCTGGTTTGAATTATAACTACAAATTTCTTCCAATCGATTTGGATGTAGAAAGAAAGTGCTTGAAGGGTTGAAACACGTTTAAAAATAACAACTGGGCTGAAACACAACTTGGATGAAACACTTACATAACAATTGGGTTGAAACACTAAAAAAACAACACGGTTGAAACAACTGAGTTGAAGCAACTGAGCTTTAATTTTGTTGTTAAAAAAAGCTAATATAGACTTGCACGTTTATAATTATTTGTAATCCATACTACGATGGATACAATTCCAGGCAACGAAACATACGTCTACGGCCACTAAGTCATCCGAGCAATCCATAATTTTTATCGCATAATGAATCTTTAAGTAAATAAGGCAAATTCTTTATACCATACGGTATGATATCTAAGGCACGTTGTCAAGATTCTATAATTAAGGGTAAATATCAGAAATCGTTGTAATTGTTATTCATCACAATAATCAAAACATAAAACATATATTTAAAGTAGATCAGGCGGTTAAAGCGTTCACAAGTTTATGCAAAGTTGGCACGGGTCATAATTAATTAACAGAAATTGTTGAACTTTGATAGACTTTTTCATTTCATCAATTTGAACAATGTAGTCCGGCAAAACTATGGCTAAACCTGGAAATTGTATATAAAGTGTTTTTATCATTGATTTTAGTAGCCTAGGGTGTCCTCTTTTAGAATCTGGCGGGTGAACCTCGGTCAACCTTGAGCGTATTGAGAAATTCAAGATGGCATCCAAATAATCCCCCCATTACTTCCATAGTATTTAGTCTAGAATGATAATTTTGGTGTCTAACCGTATGTTTGTGGGGGTCAAAGAATACATTGAAATCGTTCATTATGTTGTGGGGTGATCAGATGATAGTAAAATCAAACATGCCAGACTATTGGAGTGAGAGAGAATACAATCAAGCTCTCATCACTTTCCAAGCTGTTCCTTTCCCCACGACGTAGCAGCTTGTAACCGTGTCACATCCAACAAGAGCATGAGCTGACAGGATTTCAATGATAATTGACATGTGTTTCACCCTACTTTGACCAATGCCAACGATTGTTCTTTCCTCGATCGGCGATTCTACTGTAAGTAACCTATTATGGACAGAGCTCTTGCAAATCGATGCCTGAAACACACTGGGTGTGTTGTGTGTGTGGGTGTGTGTGGGGGGGGGGGGGTATAGGCATCCAAACGAAACTGCAAATGTATCTTCATCATCCCCACCTAAACCATGTAATCTGACTCCAACCAATGATGTATTTGTAGGAAACGTAAAAAATATGTCACCACCAAGCTATTGTATGGCGTTCACTGGAAGGTCGTAATGCGCCGAAACTTGATCCGGAACCGTATTGCTGGGTTAAGGAGACTAAATTGAAAACATTACAACCGATCAACTTGCTCCGGAGTCTGTCATGTGGATTATCAGATGTGGATGCAAGAGTGACAGCTCATGCTTTACGTGGGCTTGTAGCTGTACTAGGGGTGGCTTAGAATGTACATTATTTTGCGCTTGTGCTGTCGCAGGGTTGCAGCCAGAAACACGACTAAAGGACTAAACTGAATATTACCTAGTTTCGAGGAAGTTATTTTCGTGTTTTGAGGGTAGTATTTGATTTTTTAAATGTTTAACAAACAGCTTGTGCCTTCCTTTTCATGGTCGACCCAAGTTGCCCTGTAACATCTGATAGGCATGTATGCGCTGTTATCTTATCACTCATATGCTCCTATATCCAGAAATATATAGTTTGTCTCTAGATATAGTTTGTTTTAGTGGAATAATGACCCTCAACGACCGTTAACGAGTTAAATGGCCATATTGTCTGGTATTTTGGATATTACTATCATCTAATCACCCCACAACATAATGAGCGATTTCAGTGTATTCTTGGCCCCAGAAACATACGATTAGACACCAAAAGTATCACCCTAGAATTTCTCAAAACGCTCAAGGGTGACCGAGATTCAGCTGGCAGATACTGGAAGAGGACACCCTAGGCTACTAACATCAATCATAAAAAAACCTTTGTATACAACTTCCAGGTTCACTCGAAATATTGGGTTTGGCGACCGGACTAATGCATTTATAAATCTGAAGCATATCAGATGATAACTGATATCTGTTGTTTATTTCCTGCAATATCTGTGTAGTTTGTCTCTTATCTGCAGGTTTGTCTTATCGGTTTTGTAGTGGGGTCCTTTAACACTTATTATTATATCGCTAGGGCTTTCACGTGGTTTTACGATTTTATAAGGGCCACAAATCAAGCAACAATTAACATTCATTGCTGAAATCCATTAGGAGTCTTCGTTTCCCTAATCTGAACAAAGCATTAAAAAATATCAGATTATAACTTAGGACGTTAGAGCTTTCAGATCATTTTACGAAGTGAACAAGGGTCATGGTTATGGAAATAATTGTTCAAAATCAATAACCTTCTTTGTTTCAATAATTTGAACAATGCATATAACGCAGATCTGATGATAACTTTAGTGGCTAAAACCAACACAAGATATTAAGAAGTGATCAAGGGCATGAACTCTGAAAGTTATTATCAGAAACCTATGTCTCAGTAATGTAAACAACATGCATACATTTTAGGTGTACTCTGTCGTGTTTTCAAAAGAAATATACGACCACATTACCACGTTGGGCTATAAACACGATATAATATAGAAGCAATAATTATACTATGTGTATACTCGGTCCAATTTACAATTCAATTCAGTAATAACTTGCGTATTGTATATGCTTCTAGGAGATTAATCTGTAAAGTTGTAGAATAAAATGTCAGGGGAATTGATAAAAAAGATGGTCTGTCAGATTCATTACAACAAAGGGTTTTAAAAGAAACATGAAAATAGATCAGAATGTCCACTGCCAATGACAATTAGGTTAAATCAGTTTCTAAATCAAATCATAATTTGTTTGTTTAGCAAAATCAACATAAAACACCATGACTACACTACAGTTGCACACATTTTTGATACATTTTAAAGGGGAAGACCAGCGATTTTCAACACGGTTTCCAAAATTCTTAGATATATATTCAAAAATAATACTCTCTGTAACACAAGCAAAAAGGTTTTTGTAAGTGAGAAATTAATTTTTATTAAAACCGGAAGTGATGTAATTGGTTCAACACGCTCGCTGGTCTGCATACTGAATGGACAAACAGTACGTTGTGGCCCAGTTCACGCCACACGGCTAGTTGTTTGACACCCGGAAAGTGACAGATATTTCGTCTGCTTGAATGTTTTTGATCAATTAGAGCAGGTATACAGTAGTCGCATTTATCAAGTCGTTTAGGCTGAAACATTCAGACGTTAAACAGTATATTTCTTTACAATTTGACGTTTTCCTTGCATATACAAATAAAATAATTTTGAAAACTTTGAGTCCACTGAGCAGAGATACAGAAGAAGATGATATATGACCATTACCATTTTCATTACCATTTTACTCTATAATACATCATAGCCTCTATGTTTATATGTTAAAGATCTAGTTTTTAATATACTTACGTCACTGGTTCCAGAACCAAAAAGAAGCAAATCAAAAGGAATGGCAGCAATGGTATCGATAACGAACCAGCCCTTCACGTACTGGTTGGCAATTTTCTGCTGATCACTGACAACTTCGCCGTTTTGTATATAAGTAGTCCGGAAGTTGATCAAAATGTCTGCTATAAACATTATATCTACGATTAAATCTACAATAACCAAAGGATCAGCCGTGTTTCTCTCGGCATTTTGATTCCTAGTGGCGGCGTCCCGATTTAGCTTCATCCGTATTTCATCTTCGTTTAGGAGGAAGGCGGCTGAATATGGTGTAAGAACAGCCGTATATAAAACTAACAGTAGTATAATCCAATCCCACACGGCTTTAAATGGTGAATAATGCAGAATGATGAATTTCTGTTGGCCTCCTCGGTTTTTAAACATCTCCGGATCGGGTTCGGGCGAGCTCGTTAGTTCATCTGTGTCCTTATCGTCACTTTTTGCCGAAGTCTGAAATAATGCAAAGGACATTTTCAATTTAATATTTTGACCATTTAAATTTTCCAATTTGCAAATCATTTCCAGGAACATACAACGAACAAAATAGATATACTTGATTATGATTTTATTAGAAAATCTATAGGTTTTTAGTGAACCCGATAGATGTTCCAATTTATTCACTAAATTCAATTAAATTGATAAAAGGTTGTGTTTTTGAATTATGCGGTCAACCCGGTAAAATACTAATCAGTACACGCTCGGACATTCAATGTTTCCTGGAACTAAATACGTAAATATTTAACAGCGATACAATATTTTTAGCAAATTCTTCCAGGTGTTATCCATTATTATGTAAATGCTTTTATCTGTTCACCCAAGATAATACCAAGAAAACAGGAAACAAGATTTTAAAAATAATACATTAGCTTAATTGTCAAAAGAACATTCTCAAGTAAATATAAGTTTTGTCGTGGGTAAATGTTAATGAGAGTAATTTCTACAGAAAATCTTAATAAAATAATTTTCTCGAAACAAATTGTTTTTCTCAGCACTGCGTCTTCTGGAATTATTTAAGACATATTATTTTAAGAACTTCTAAATGACTAAAATAATTCTGAATTGTAAAGACGAGAATATTATGAAATAAACAATCCAATCTATGACAATATTACCTTACTCCATCGTAGTTTTTTGAGTTGTAGAGAATTTTGTACTATTGTAGACAATATACAATGACAAATGTGACTGATTTGTTGCACTTGTTTAAAGTTTAAATAGAATAGGATATTGGGTCTGTCTTTATACGTTATCTTATGTTCAAAACGTTTCTATACTCTCAAAGATAAAACAAATAGCAAAAACACAATGTAAGAAATAAATCGATAATAACAATGCCCCGTGTCTTAACAATATCTTATTCTCTATGTAACTAACGTATATGAAGGGTCTGATGTTTATCCTAAAACCATGAAGTTTATGTAAAAATATTATTTTTAGTTATGTTATATTATGTTTTGTCACGTCTGTCTATATCATCAATTTTACAGTTTAATATATTATTACAAAAATAACAGTGAAAATAAAAATATCGGCAATGTTTTAAAGTCAAACGTTTTCACGTTAGAAGCAGGCATCCGTGTAATTTTCATCAATTCTTGTATACTTTATTTACCGAAAAAACCTTAGGCCACACATACAAATTGTTACGGGTCAGGCTAGGCCACGCATAAAATCATAAAAATTGTGGGGAACTCTAGGTGGGTAAGACGCTAGCTCGCTATCCTTGAGGTTGGCCGAGAAAGTTCATCGGGATTTTTCGGCGTTGTTTCCCCTTGTCAGTGGTGCAGTACGGAGGGCCTGGCAAGGACAGATGTCTAACCGTTCGGATGGGAGGAAAAACCGAGGTCCCGTGTACACATTGGCGTACACGTAAAAGATCCCTTAGCAGTTGGAATTAGACACAAGCGTTGGCCATACCGACGTTGTCCGGGCACATTTCCCTCATCGCACTGTGTGGCGTATGACCGTCTTCATTAGCCCTGTCGGAGCAAAACAGTGGGACGTTAAACCCGATTTCATTTCTAGGTGGGTAATAGGTCACGCTAGGCCAGACATAAATATAGTGGGACGCTTTAGGTTGGTCATGGATCACAACAGGTCCCATCTAAGACTTGTGGGGCACTGTTGGTTGGTCATGTGTAAGCTTAGTCCACGTATAAAAAAATGAGTCATGGGTTAGTTTTTTTTTTCAGGCGGCAATTTCTCCCGTTTACACCATTGAGCACGGCATTTTCTTTATGAACTTGTTATAAAACATCCCAATGCAGCATTTGATCTTCTAGTTTTTGGTGTTCAGCATTCAACCGACCGTCGCTATGCCACGTTTGAAAGTAACAAAGAAAAGGAGAGGAAAGTCGGACAGCCTAAAGATTCATCAAATAAGTTTTAGTATCCTCCTGGTAAAAAGTCATGTCTACATGCAGAAAAAAACTGTACAAGAGATCAGGACTGCATTCTCTGTAATACATATTATAAACGTTAGTCCGCATGACGCTGGCAAAGCACACTCGCGATAATCTCACCTCCTCCTATTTAGAGACTATATAGAGCCATGAAAGTGTCAAAATCGTACAGAGCAGTCAAAAAAGGTCATATACGTTTCTTCGTTGAAAGAAATTGTGAACTTTTAAAGTTACCCTACTCATCCTGATTTGAATTATGGACGCAATATTCAGGCGAATTGATCAACTTTCAAAATTAGCTTCTGCCTTAGTGCACTGGATTATATGCAATCAGCTTATACCTCAAATTATTTATTTTCTAAATGAATTTTCCACCACTGATGGCCTATTGTGTCTTAATCTAACACTGATTGTCTGTGGCCCATTCCACTTATGATGGCCTGTGGTCCATTTCACCACTGATGACCTGTGGACCAGTCTATTGTCTATTGTGTACGACTGACGGTCTATTGTGCCATATTCCACAACTGATGGTCTATTGTGTCCCAGTCTACCAATGGTGGTCCGTGGCCCAGTCCACCAATGATGGTCTGTAGTTCATCCACCACTGATGGTCTGTGGTTCATGCCTATCAATGACGGTCTGTGTGTCCCAGTCCACCACTGATGGTCTGTGGCCCATTCCACCACTTATGGTATGTGTCCCAGTCCACAACTGATGGTCTGTGGCACATTCGACCAATGATGATCTGTGTGTCCCAGTACACAGCTGATGGTCTGTTGCCCAGTTCACCAATGATGGTCTATAGTCTAGTCGACCACTGAAGGTCTGTGTGTTCCAGTCCGCCACTCATGGTCTGTGGTCCATTCCACCACTGATGGTGTGCGGCCCAGTCTACCAATGATGATCTGAGTGTGACAGTCCACAGTCAATGGTCTGTTGCCCAGTTCACCAATGAAGGTTTGTCCCAATCCGTCACTGATGGTCTGTGTAGACCAGTCCACCTTTGATAGTGTATTATGACATGGTGTGTGTGTGTCCCAGTCCGCCAATGATGATCTATGTGGGCCAGTCCACCTTTGATTGTCTATTATATCATAGTCCAGCGCACAGACTGATGGCCGATGTCAACCAATCCGCCACTGATGGTTTACTGTGGCATATTCCACTACTGATGGTCTATTGTGTCATAGTCCGCCACTAATGGTCTGTGGCCCAGTTCACCAATGACGATCTGTGTGTCCCAGTCCACCAATGATTGTCGATCGTGTCAACGCTTCCAGACAAAGTTAGAAAATAAATAATTTGAGGTATAAGCTGGTTGCAGATAATCCAGTGCATTAAGGCCGAAGCTGATATTTAAAGTTAATTAATTCCCCCGAATATTGTGTCCATAATTCAAATCAGGGTGAGCAGGTTTCACTGCTCTGTAAGATTTTGACACTTTCATGGCCCTAAATGGTCTCCAAATAGGAGGCGGTGCGATATTCGTATAAGTCCACCCAGAGACCCGGTGTGTATTTAGTGAATCTGCCCCCCCCCCCTCTCTCTCTCTCTCTCTCTCAAACATAAACTATATCAAAAGTGGTTTAAATTACCACACATATTATATAGATCAACGCTTGCTATGTTTACAGACTCTATATCTAATACCCTATTGTTATCTTATTATAATTCCTTTTAACAGACCGAAGAAAGTATTGATCAGTAATTATTACTTTATTTTATCTCGTCATGTTGAGCTCTCGGCTTTTATTTTTACTGTTGTTCTTTCTTTTATGTGTTTATTTTTTATCACACGGAAACTGTTTTCTTTTTCTTTTTAAATTAATGTAATTCCGAACGGAAACGCATGCAGTGAGCACGACACTTTGAATGCAGCTTAATTAATAATTTGTTGGGGCTGCCCTTTATGAGGTGGAAACACCCAAACCACTTAACTGGATAAACATTGCATAATGTATAACCTGAAATTGAATACTAACAATTGCGGAAGACTAATACGAGTATTATGAACAATATCAAGGACCATCTTATTTTCTTTATTCTCTTATATGTCCTTATCAGGCTTCCCAAACCCCGGTTAAATTTAAAGGAATTGATTGATATTTGATTTAAACAGTACTTATTACATACAATATATGGTAATAAAGGTGAAATAGGGAAATGAAAAATGAAAGGTGAAATTACGGAATTCTTCGATACACTCTTTCATTTGAGAGTGTGTATATTTAGCACTCGACTGTTGAGTTTCTAAAAACGAATTAAAAGTGAAAGACAAAATCGAATTAGGGTGGGGTCTAGTGAAATATACATCTATCTTGAAATCGATATGTAATCTATATTTCATCAGAATATCGAAAACCGTAGTGTGATTATTCGATTAGTTTATGGGTATATTTATTTTGTCCATTGATCTCAACATTTATTACTATCATTGAACAGAAATGTCTTAATACTTGATAAGAATCAATGGTAGCATCTTAACCGTTTATTTGTATACGCGTGTTTATCTTATTGGAAATTTTTAGTAACTAGTTTTTAAGTTTGTTTAAATAGACCAGCGCCCATAAAAGATCGTTTATCACCCAATAATACATTCTACAGTAAATATCGCTTGTGTGATAAATTTCATAATCTACTGCGATATCTTCTTAGCAGATATCGCTTTACATGAATTTGATTGGTCAGTTGAAAAGGAACTACTTTTTTATTTTCAAAGAACACTTCATTTTTTGTTAAAAGTAACTTCTTTTTTTTAATTAAAAATGAACTATCTTTATTTAATTGACCTTGATGGAAACACTGGGTCAATATAAAGGACTTTGCAATGGTTGAATGAATTGTTGTCAAAATACTACGCCGTAATGTAATCAGATTCAGTAAAAGTGAAATCTATAGCAAAGAATTATATTTATTTATTTGTGTATGTAAGAAAGGGTTGGGTGATGAATAAAATCTCCTACTCGTATTTTTTTATATCAAAAAATATCAACGCTCGGCAGAGCCTCGTTTTTTTACTTTATCGACTTGTGTTGATATTTTTTGACATCAAAAAAGACTCGTAGGAGATTCTCTATTTATTAACGAATCGATTTATAAAAATATTTGTGATTAGTTTTTATTTGCGTTTTACGTCGTATTTCACCTTTATTAACGTTAAATATCAACTAATTTATATAATTTACCATATATTGTATGTAACAAGTATACTGTTTAAATCAAATATCAATCAATTCCTTTAAATTTAACCGGGTTTGGGAAGCCTGATAAGGACATATAAGAGAATAAAGAAAATAAGGTGGTCCTTGATATTGTTCATAATACTCGTATTAGTTTTCCGCAATTCTTAGTATTCAATTTCAGGTTATACATTATGCAATGTTTATCTAGTTAAGTGGTTTGGGTGTTTCCACCTCATAAAGGGCAGCCCCCACAAATTATTAATTAAGCTGCATTCAAAATGTCGTGCTCACTGCAGGCATTTCCGTTCGGAATTATATTTATTTAAAAAGAAAAAGAAAACAGTTTCCGTGTGATAAAAAATAAACACATAAAAGAAAGAACAACAGTGAAAATAAAAGCCGAGAGCTCAACATGACGAGATAAAATAAAGTAATAATTACTGATCAATACTTTCTTCGATCTGTTAAAAGGAATTATAAAAAGATAACAATAGGGTATTAGATATAGAGTCTGTAAACATAGCAAGCGTTGATCTATATAATATTATGTGTGGTAATTTAAACCACTTTGATACAGTTTATATTTATATGGAGAGAGGGAGAGAGAGAGAGAGAGAGGGGCAGTTTCACTAAATGCACATCATGTCACTGGTGGACTTATACGAATATCGCACCGCCTCCTATTTGGAGACCATTTAGGGCCATGAAAGTGTCAAAATCTTACAGAGCAGTGAACCCCGAGAGTCAACAGATACACACCAGGTTATTTAGGGACAAACGCGCTGGTCTTGCATACTTTTCAACGCGAGTCATTGGATTTTCATTATTTCAACTTCTTATAATAATAATAGTAAGATACTTTATCTTATGAGCGTTCGTTATAAACGCGTCGAAAATCACTTAAAAGGGCGTTTGTATGTTAAATCTATTTACCAATTCCACCTGCAGATTTCCTCAAGGCCACGAAATGTAAATAGGATTACGGCACGTGACTGTTGCCGAGGATGGTGGGTTAGGTTTAGAGTAAGGCTTAGGGCTAGGTCTTGGGTTAGGGTTAGCGCCAGCCCAGTTTACATCTCGTGACCTAGAGAAAATCTGCAGGTGGAATTGGTAAATAGATCTAACATACATACACCCGATTAAGAGCGATTCGTTAAAGAAGCATTATGTAGGATTTAGATAAATAGCTGGCTGTTCTTGCTAGAATAGTTCAAAAATAGATAATACAAAATTAATATATTCAAAATTGCATTCACATTACTTTATTCTGAGGTTTGACAAGATGTGTGCACGGACTGTAACTACCGTACTGGGTGTTCGGGGCTTCATCATTGTTAAACCAATTTTTTTAATGGTCGAACCGTTCTTATTTACTTACAATCGGACGCATCCGACGGAACCGAGAATTGATTATATAGTCTTGTCATGTTAATAAATGTCTAATCAATGTAACATTTGAGGCCTAAAGAATGACATGCAATAGGCAGATTTAGCTCTTGCATAATGGCTGTTTAAACATCCGATGGAACCGAGAATTGATTATAGTCTTGTCATGTTAATAAATGCCTAACCAATGTAACATTTGAGGCCCAAAGAAAGACATGCAATAGACAGATTTAGCTCTTGCATAATGCCTGTTTAAACATACATTATGTAAGCTAAATCTGCCTATTGCAGGTCTTTCTTTAGGCCTCAAATGTTATCTAAATTATTAATTAGACATTAATTAACTTATCCAGACCATAATCAACTCTCGGTGTCATCGGTAACCTGCGATATTTACTGGATTCAATAATGAAATGGATAATCGAGACTACGTTTTTATCGTACCGACTTTAGTAAAGATGATCGAGGCTAGCCTAAAATTCATTACCTAATATCTCGGTCCAGAGTGGGGCAATTACCGATAAATTTTCAGCATATTCTATTTACGTTATCTATTTTTTAACCGTTATAGCGAGAACTGTCAACTCTTTATCTAATCTCCTATAATGCCCCTTTAAGTAGCAGGTATAGTTTGGTTTATTTTATATAGGTTTAATCATTGTAATTATATTTAGTATATAGATATTGATATCTTATACATACGCCCTTATAATTATCATCATATGGTAACCGGTCATTGTATTTACATGCACGATGGTTATGGAATGAATTAACAATTCAAATTCTAGTTCTATTGCTACTTTTAAAACTAAACTGAAGACATATTTATTTAAAAACGGTTTTACACAGTGATACTTTTATATAGATTATCCAGAGCTATTTTTATTTCTAATTACATGTAATTTTATCTAAATCACAACTTGTAATTATATATTTTATCACGTATGCTCTTTGTTATCTCTTTTTATTATGTAAATATAATATTGTCTTGATCTATTACATGTCTTTGTAAAGTGCACATGAGCACATTTATGTAGCAGTTGTGCTTTATAAAAATGTATAATCATCATCATCATCATCATCATCATCATTCTCCACAATATAAACCGATTAGTACCTTACCACAGACATTATAACAGACTGCACTAAATGTACATCAATTACAAACTGTTCGATCGAAATATATAATGTTTAATTTTTGCTTAAAATGATGAGATTCAAAATAGGACTGTTCGATAAATGCTGCAATCTAATTTTGACATGTAGACCAGGTTAGTGATTTTTCTGGTATTTTCCTTCATTATTTGTTTGTAATTGCTTATATCATATACATACTATATTATGGGCATAACTACGCTTTGATGGCATACATCATCTGTACAAATTGTTGACATCTCGAATCATGTCTATTAACGTAAGTATCTTTACTCATAAATACATTTTAGTAATAATTAATTAAAAAACAATAATTAAAATTTTAAGAAATAGACATGTATATTCATATTTTATCTGACGAAACTATAGTAACTCGAGTTAACGCTTGCGTTTTATACGTAGTCGCGATCAATAAACCGATATCGTGACAACGGGTTCAGTCTATGTCGGCAATAAGGATGGACTGGATGATCGAATCTAATTATTTAAAATCGTCCCCATCCTCTGCAAGATGGAATTAATACAAATCAAGTGAGGTAAATCCTGCATAAACTGAGTTAAATGAATCTGTGCTGTTTTTTTTATCAGCCATGTGTGTTTACTTGACAATTTTGTACATACACAAAATATGTATTTTATAATAGAATTTACAAACAGCATAGAATTTAGAGATGCATAGCATTATTTTCGAGAACATCGATCGATCATACTACAAATATGTGACGTTCCTTATTAGACAAAGCATATCCCGTGGAACTTCCGGTCCGGAGATGACCAACTTTATATCATTTGGGCAAAAAATAACAACGTAGAATCGCGCATTTGTGCCGATCAGTAGACAATCATACAAATTTAAAATAGTATTAAACATACTTACGCCCGGAATGTCCAAATTAATTTATATTCGATATTCGAAACAAATCAGCCAATCCATTGCTGACAATACAATCGTTTAAAGAGTCCTTACATAGCATAAACTATAACTGCTTTCAAGAAGTAAAAAGGCGCAAAAATCCTTATTGTAATGATTGAAAATGTCCCTTTAAAAGTGATTAAATCTTTACAAACCTCGTCTTTATCTTTATCCATCTTCATCTTGGCCGTTTTCTCTGCTATAGGTCTGGTCTGTGAGCGACCCCGGAATTCTCTTAGGACCTTCAACATGATGATCTTACTTTTCGCCTGTAATATAAGTAAACATGACGTATAGAGACTTTAATTCAATTATACGGGATTACTGAATTGCTTTCCAGCATGTCATATTACAACGAGAAAATTGAAAATACCTCTGACTTTTGGAATTTACTTTCCACAAATATTTTCTTTCAATTGATTTAAGTTAAAATCTCAAAGGTTAACCACGAAGATCGAAAAGTTTCAAAAGATAGAGAAAATAAAACATTGAAAGCGCCAAAAAAAATTCCACAGTAGGCTATTATTTCGTTTTTCCGGAAAAATCGAGGAACCATATTTCGAGATATTTATATCCTTTTCTCTTCTCCGTAAAACTGGATGAAACAAAGAACACATTGTCTGTCTGTGTGTACATTAAAATAAATACCATTTGACATGTTATCTTGATCACACTGTTTCACGATTTGATCAACTCACTGTAATGTATTCCCTACCTTTTAAAAAGTCAAATTACAAGTCAAAAAAACTATTTTATCTCAGACGATTTAATGGATAGTCTTGTGATCAGCGTTGTACAGCGAGGTAGTTTTCAATCATTATTCAAATGTTATCTCGTTAATCGTGCAATATTTCTATTTAAGGTCAATTTAAGGAATGTCAGGAATATCCGAAGAGTCTTTGAGAAAATCATAGAATGCTTTATATACTGTAACAATTCTAAACATTTCTAACAACACAGAATGCGATTAACATATATACGTTTTCAATGGCTTCCGTTTTACATCTCGGCGTTCGTCTTTCACTGAAAACATATTATTATGCAGACGTTATTTGATCAAAGTATTATTCAAATCAAGAAGGAACGCACAATTGTCCAATTAACAATTGTGCGTGTAAAGATACATTATGGAAGAGCTGATAGTTCTCACTATAATAGTTAAAAACTAGATAATGTAAAAGGAATTTGCTGAAAATTTCAGTCAAATTGATCCACTCTGAACCGAGAATGTAGCGATTGAATTTTCGGACCAGCCTCGTTCATCTTTACTAAAGTCGGTACGATAAAAACGTAGTCTCGATTATCCATTTCATTATTTAATCCAGTAAATATCGCAGGCTACCGATGACACCGAGAGTTGATTATGGTCTGGATAAGTTAATTAATGTCTAATTAATAATTTAGATAAATTTCAGGCCTAAAGAAAGACCTGCAATAGGCAGATTTAGCTCTTGCATAATGTATGTTTAAGATTAATAATTTTAAGCATTTCCATTGGTGTGGTTTTTTTAACGTAGACATTACCTACAGGAATACAGCTCCCTTGTCCCATAGAAACCATTTCTTTCAAAGGTATATACTGCTATTCAATTCCGTACCATACATTTATTATCAACAAGTAATTGTTCGATTTAAGATCTCTCTTTCCATCCCTAGCAACATTTAGGTTACATTTCACAAAAAGAGATATTGATTTTAGGATATTTATACACATGTATATATATATACACATATATTTATATATATATATAGATCATTTTATATTCTTAAATGCCATTTCCTAGCCGGGAGACAAAAAAATCTTTACTGTAGATATTAAGCACCAAGCTGTTATCACTAATGGTATCTAACAAGAGCTCGACATATGAATAGAGTAACATATTTCAGAAGGTGATAACATTGGCACCAGTCTGATTTCCTTTAACACCCGTTAAGTCCCCGAGGCACACTTGCGATACATTACGTTATTAAATGAATCTTTCTCAACAGCACTAGTCTCTAGTATCAGAACGATGAAATATTAGCTTACGATACTTTTCGATTGTCAATGAATATGGCTATTCTCTCGCGATAAGCTAATTGAGGTGCTCAAAACTGTTTTGATCACAATATATGATTATATAATTGAAATTCTGTGACCACGTACTCTCCAAAGTTAGAAGAGTCCAATATCTATTGTTGATTGATATAGTGTCGATATATAATCTAAATCTACAATTAGGAAAGGACAGAAGGTTATCATATCATAATGTGGGATATAAGGTATATAAACAGACCCACATTAATTTTGGCGTATGCATATATAAGTGAACAGCCCGGAGTTTATCCTGGAGTAGTTTGTAATTTATTTTTTGGTCAACATTTAGTTCAATATAAACGGTTACGACCGCATCACTGAATTATACTCTTAAGTGTAAACATAGTTTTTCATCACTAAAGTTAAAATTGATTTTGAAGATTCCAGAAATGAAATATTAGCGTAAAATATAGGAAGAAAGGTGCAACGTTTTAGCTATGTAAACTCCCCAAACAACAAACAGTATCAGGTGTTATACAATTACGTTACGTTCTGCCTTCTTTATTTGATAACAATGGAATAGTAATTCCACCAAAAAATGTTATAACTTCGTACACGAATTGTAAATTTATACTGTATATGGGGGTCCTTTAATATTTTGTTCGGTGTCTCTTTTGCTATGCAACTTACCAACTTGAAAGTTCTCGAGAGCTGGGATAATAATATTCCGATCACCGAAACATATTTCTTTATCTTCTGCAGAAAACGATGTCATTAAAAATTTTATACTATACACGCTTCACAAAATCAGTTTACACTGAATGACACTTTCAACAAGTTGTAATAAAACATGAATTCAACCAAAAGAGATTCCAGGACAATTTTAAGCTATTATCCACCTATATAAAAAGTTTCTATTTCCTGTCTCTTTTAATGAAATATCTTGGCTTTGAAATACAATTTAACATTATATATGTGTTAAACCGCGTAGAACAGTTTCATGATTTAATTCCCCTGCAGCATTGCAGTATAGATTGAGGAAATAGAATGAAGTTTTATCAATTCGGCTCCTGTCGGCAGTAATTCACTTGCGGGCAAATTTCAATAAAAGCCGCATTGGTTAATGTTACATTACAGCTAAAAGCAGTTTAAGATTTATTTAATTTAGCGTCATGTTTCAATATGAGCTCAACATATGTCAACAACTGATTTAATATAGGACCAGAAATAAACCGATGAACAATCACTTGGAAAGCCCTTCCTAGTTAGCTGCAGGCCACATCACTTAAAGTAAGATTGACCTTAGGAAAATCCGCTACTAATGGCGCTGTCCATTCGATAACTATCCACAGAGAGCGAATATCAATAAAGCGCAATCAAAGTTACATAGGAAATTGTGTTCATGTTGCCTCTTTAAGATAAAGTGTTTGTTCAATGTATAGAGCTCTCGTGGCTTTCGGCATTCTTGAATTAAACCAGATCGTGTGGTTCCAACCAACACCTAATTATATCTTAGTTTGTTATTCACACTGTAAAGTTGCGTAAATGCTTTCAAAATTGTCAGCACCACAAAAAGAAACTTCGTCAATATTATCATAGGCATTGACAAGTAGCAAAGATAACCAAGAAGTTTATTTTGGAGGTGCACTTGAAGCGATTGGATGGTACACACAGGGGAAAATAACAAAAAATAAAGAAAGAAAACAAGAATCTGTCAATGAAGATAAACACCGTGGAGATGCATATTGTTGATTTACTTGTTGAAAATTTAATTATGTTATCCAAATAAAGCTAACATTCAGAACCTTTTTTCCCAAAGCCTTTTGAAGGATTTACGGGAAAAAAGCATTGACAAAATGAACTACGTCAGTTTTCGTAGCTGTAAATCTATTAACGCATTTCTCTACATCATTTTTTAAAAGAGGGTTTCATATCAATCGCTTTCATGAAGCTCTATATATTAAAGAAACATTGAACTAGTGTAAAAGCTTCTGCGACCGAGCTTATAATCCTGCATTCTAAAAACACATACAGTCTATAGTTAATAGGGGAATTATGCAGCTGATAGAAACACGCTCGTTTTGCTACGGCCCAAATCTATCATTTCTGTCTATTACTAAGCCCGGCATCTTCCACAATACAACTACTCTGTCCATCTTTTACAATTTTTTATTTAAATTATATTAGGGAAAGGTATTTGGATTTGACTAAGGATATTCTGACTGTAAAAGGCTTATTATGATCTAGACATCGGCCAAAAGGATATCACCCCCACGTTTTTTTTTAAATCGTAAAGATCTATATATAAAATTATAAAAGAAAGGTTGAAGTTAAACAACAACACCAGCTCTAAAGATGTGAGAAGTATGTCACGAGCATCGCATCGCAGCTTGTAACATGATATAAATAGTATACATGGCATAAAATGCCAAGGGCATCGTTCCTTTCAGAAAGACAGAAATATCTTGCAAAAAAGTAGAGGGTTATAAGAACTGAAATATATTCCTCAAGTGTCAGAAATAAAAAAATCCTGGGCATGACGAATACTGGATACAGCGAATTATATTCTCTTAAACGCTATACTTAACGTATTACTTCTCCAATAAAGATTTATTGCCATACCAGAGATGACTTGAATTGGAGTTCATGTTGCTGCGAAAGGTGACATATGATCTAATATTCACTTGTGATCCGACAGTACATGAATAAATCTTCTAGATCTGGAATAATCATCTGGAATAGGAATATAATTCTGGGGCACACTTTGAAGAAACATTAAATTTGGCGGAACCATCAAATAAAGAAACAGAAATAATAGGTACGTAAAAACAAATCACATCGACAAAAAATAGTGCACCATTAATTCGCAAAGACAGATTTTAGCCTGTAGGAAAGATGAAGAGTCATGTTAAAAATTGCCCTAATGTAAATTACACGAAAGCAAAGACGTTATTACATTTTAGTGAACAAGTTTTCAAACATGTACCACATAGCTTCGTTCTGATACAATAGATTGAAATAGATCGCATGCGCAATGTTATCAGCAGGTCATACACAATAAGTTATAAAATCCCAGCACAATAGCTGGCAAACATCAAATAGACTAGACAAAAGATTTTATTCTAGTTATCTATGTGATAAGTGTTGTTTTTCCCCGCCAAGATCTATTGGTCTTCTCTAAAATAAGATCTATCAATGTAATACAGGATGGTGGGGAAAACAAAAACATATTGATTTATTGGTGGTAGTAAT